TTCACAACTGGCTGTGGTGGCGCAATGCCTGTAATCCTAACACTCGGAAGGCTGAGGCAGGAGGATCATTGTGAGTTTCGAGTCCAGCCTGGGTTACAAAATGAGCTCTACACCAGCCTGAACTACATAGTGAGATGCTGTCTCAAAAAAACCCAAAAACAACAACAACAAAAAAGTATACGCTTCAATTGTTTTCTGCATATTCACAGTATTATGCAGCCATCACCACCATGTAATTCCAGACTATTTCCGTCAGATCACAAAGAAACCTCATACTATCCAATTCTCCTCTTTCCCATCCTCTAGAAACTATTAATCTTTAATCTTTTTTTTTTCTTTTTCAATACTAGGGATTTAACCCAGGACCATTACTTGAGTTACATACCTACCCTGTTTTTTTTTATTTAAAGGAAAAAAAAAACAGAAAAAGAGTGGAAATGATACATAATTTCAAAAAATAAACAGTAAGAAATCACTAGTTGATAAATTACACATTGTCCTCTTAGAAATAGTTGTTCAAATTACAAAAGTAAAGCATACAAAGTGGATATCTAAACAGCAAGTCTACAAACAGTTCTGTTCAAATATCCAACAAAAACTTAGTAATATGGTTATCAATCCTACACATTTAAACATACATGCAGTTATATCCTTTAGAGCACTTTCTTTTCCTCTCTTTTTTACAATAGCAATTACACATTTTGGGTTTTATTACTCCTACATTTCTTATTACTTTTTACACTAGAGACACAATATGATATTTATAAATATGATTCTTATTTTATGAATGAGGATAGTCTCAAGTTGTCTCCATTTCCCTGAGAAGGCCTCAAGATCATTTAAGTAATATTCCATTGTATAAAAATACATCTTTTTCATCCACTCTTCAGTTGATGGGCATCTTGGTTGTTTCCAAGATTTAGCTATTACAAATTGTGCTGCTATGAACATGGGTGCACATATATTACTGTGGTATGACCTTTTCAGGTTTTCTGGGAAAATACCTAGGAGGGGAATAACTGGGTTGAATGGAACTTACAATCCTAGTCTTCTGAGAAATCTCCATAGTGATTTCCATAGTGACTGCACCAGTCTACACCCCCACCAACAGTGAAACAATGTGTCCCCCCTCCCCCCAGCCTCTCCAACATTTGTTATCAGTTGATTTCTGGATGGCAGCCATTCTTTCCGGAGTGAGATGAAATCTCAATGCTGTTTTAATTTGCATTTCTCCAATGACCTGTGATGGTGAACATTTCTTCATGTATTTATTTGCCATTTTCATAGCTCCTCTGAGAACTGTGTGTTCATCTCAGATGCCCATTTTTGAAAAGGGTCTTTAAATTTGGGGTGTTTGATGTTTTTCAGTTCTTTATATGTTCTGAATATAAGTCTCGTCCTTTGTGTGAGGGGTTGTTGGTTAAAATTCTTTCCCATTCTGTGAGTTTTCTTTTCTTCATTCTGTTGATGATTTCTTTTGAAGTGCAGAAACTTTTCTGTAACATGAGATCCCAGTTGTTGACTCTTTGAAGTGTTTCCCGTGCAGTTTACACTTTGTTCATGAATTCTCTGCCTACCCCTATGTCTCCAAGACTTCTACCTACATTGTCTTCCAGTAGATTTAGTGTTTCTGTTTTAATATTTAGGTCTTTGATCCATTTAGGCTTTAGTTTTGGGCATGGTGATAGGCATGGATTTAGTTCCACTTTTTGGCATGTGGAGAGCCAAGTTTTCCAACACCATTTATTAAAGAGGCTATCCTTCTTCCAGTGAATGTGTTCAGCCCCTTTGTCAAATATCAGGTGGCTGAGTGACTTTGTAGTTGTGCTGGTATTTTCTAATCTGTTGCATTAATCCTCAGGTCTATTTCTTTGCCACTACCATGCTGATTTTACCACTGTGGCTTTGTAGTATAGTTTCAAGTCAGGTAACTGAGATGCCTCCTGCCTTGCCTTTGTTGCCCAGAATTGCCTTTGCTATTCTAAGTTTCTAATGTTTCCAAATGAATTTTAGGAGTGTTTCCTCTAGATCTGTTAGGTATGTTAATGGTATTTTGATGGGAATTACATTAAATCTGTACAACACTTTTGGGCGTATGGTCATTTTCACAATGTTGGTTCTTCCTAGTCAAGAGCAAGGAATATCCTTCCATTTTCTGATATCCTTTTCAATCTCCTTTTTTAGTATAGCATAATTTTCATCATATAGGTCTTTTACATTTTTAGTTAGGTTGATTCCTAAGTACTTCATTTTTTTAGATGTTATTGTGAAGGGCGATATTTCCATAATTTCTCTCTTGATGAGTTTTTTGTTTGTGTACAGGAATGATATTGATTTTTGAGCATTGACTTTGTATCCAGCTACACTGCTGAATTTGTTTATTATTTCTAGTAGTCTTCTAATGGAGTTTTTTGGATCTTCTATATAGAGTATCATGTCATCTGCAAACAGTGATAATTTAAATTCTTCTTTCCTGTCTTTATTCTTTTTATTTTTCTCTCTTGTTTGATTGCCCTGGCTAATGTTTCTAGAACTATATATTGAATAGGAGTGGTGATAGTGGACATCCTTGTCTTGTTTCTGATTTTAGAGTGAAAGCTTGCAGTTTTGGTTCATTTAGCATACTGTTGGCTGTTAGTTTATCATAGATGGCCTTTATAAAATTGAGGTAGATACCATGTATTCCGAGTTTCTGAAGGGTTTTTATCATGAACATGTGTTGGACTTTATCGAAAGTGTTTCGTTTTTGGCTCTGTTGATGTGGTGTATTACATTTATTGATTCGTGTATGTTAAACCACTCCTGCATTCCTGGAATGAATCCCACTTGCTCATGATGCATAATCTTCTTGATGGTTTGCTGCATTCTATTTGCCAGTATTTTATTGAGAACCTTTGCATCAATGTTCATTAGTGAGATTGGCCTCTAGTTCTCCTTTTTGGTTGGTTCATTCTCTGGTTTTCATATGAGAGTAATACTTTCCTCCAGGAATGATTTAGAGAGGATTGCTTCCTTTTCAGTTTCTTTAAAGAGTTTAAGGAGTATTGGCATCAAATCTTTTCTAAATTTCTTGTAGAATTCATCCGTGAATCTATCAGGACCTGTGCTTTTCTTTTTTGATAATTTTTAATTATGTTTTCAATTTCAATAACTGACATTGGGTTATTTAAAATTGCTATATTGTCTCAGTTGAGCTCTGGTAGTTCATGTGTTTCTAGAAATTTGTCCATTTTCTCTGTGTTTTCCACTCTATGTGAGTAGAGATTTTCAAAGTAGGTATTAGTGATCTTTTGAATTTTCATGGGATCTGTAGTAATTTCCCCCTTTTCAGTCCTTGTTGCATGAATTGGGGTTTTTTCTTTCTTTTTATGAGGTTGGCTAGGGGTTTGTCAATTTTGTTTATTCTCTCAAAAAACCAGCTTTTAGGGCTGGGGATTTAGCTCAGCGGCATAAGCGCCTGCCTTGCAAGCAGGCAGTCGTGAGATCGATCCCTGGTACCGATAAAAACGAAAAAGACAAAAAAAAAAAAAAACAGCTTTTGATTCACTAATCCTTTGGGGTTTTTTTTAGTTTCAGTTACATTGATTTCTGCTCTAATCTTTACAGTTTCCTCTCCTCTATGAACTTTGGGTTTAACTTGCTCTTCTTTTTCTAGAAGCTTGAGCTGAAGCATTAGGTGGTTTATTTGTGCTCATTCTGTTTTTTGACATGACAATTTATTGCTACCTATTTACCTCTTAAGAATACTTTCATTGCATTCCACAGATTACAGTATGTTGTTTCCACATTTTCATTGAATTCTAGGCATCGCTTTATTTTTTCTTTAATTTCATCTGTAGCCTACTGGTTGTTCAAAAGCTTGTTATTTAATTTCCATGTATGTATGCAGGTTTTGCAATTTCTTTTGCCATTAATTTACAATTTCAGATCACTATAGTCAGATATTATGCATGGGATAATGTCAGTACCTTTGCAATTACTTAAGAATGTTTTATGGGATAATATATGTTCTGTTTTGGAGACTGTCCATTATACCCAGTACTTCCGGGACTGACTCTTACATCTGTTTAGCTTAGGGCCATTCTTTGGTGCTATTGAATTCTCCAAAAGTTGGGCAATGTTTAACCATCTATATTACAAAATGAAGGTATAGAATAGTTTTATTATCTGGGTTGTATATTCTTAGACCACACGAGAATTTTTGTTCACCTAACAGGGAAAGCCAGCGCCCCATTCCTGTAAATTACCTGGAGTAGTACCATTGTGTTGGTCTAGCTGTCCACTCTGGAATCTCACTGTCTCTTCTGTCTCCCACTGTAGAGCTGTACTCAGTGCTAGCTGTAGAGACATATACAGAAGTTATCGCTCAAGAGGGCTAAGAGGGCACTAACTGAACTGTTCTGGCCCCCATTAATTCTTTCCTGACTGACCACCTATAACCTCTCCCCTCAGCCTTTACTTATGTGCAGGCATTGTTCTAAGGGTGCTTCTCATAAAACATGATTTGCAGTTAGGGGTGAGGTCTTCTCTCCTACACACGAGATTATAGATTCTCCAGATGCCAATATGTTTGTGTTTTTGTGTTGTTTTGTTTTGTTTGGGGGGGGAGATTATTTTTTTCAATACTGGAGATTGAACACAGGGCCTCACATATGCTATGGAAGAACTCTACCACTGAGCTACATCCCCAGCCTTTCTCCCTTATTTCAGTTTTTATTTTAAAACTGAGTATGTCATTCTCAGATGTCCAGGCTGGCCTTGAACTTGGACACTCCTGCCTCACCTACCAAATAGCTGGGATTACAGTGCTCACCACCACATCCAACTTCACCGTCTGTTTCAATGTCACCCAAAGGCTCATTCTGTGATTTACTGGTAGCACCCCGTTGGCTTTGAGATGGGTTTCTTTTTTTTTTCCAGTTTCTTATGGCATTTCAGCACGATTTCAGAAAGAAGGAAAACATATCTTTACAACTGAGTCTTTCTTTGCATTTTTCTAGATCAGGACAGTCCAACCCAACCTTTTATCTCCAGAAGGGCTCTCAAACATTTGTACTCAGGAAAAAACCACCAGGTTCACTTCTTCCTAAAGCACATAAGGTATGACATAGAAATATAATGTAAATTCTTTTATGATAAAGGAATTCTTTCAGGATGGATGACTTTTATTTACACACAAACAATTTAAACTGCTTTTTAAGGTGATTGTGTAGCTTCTAAATGATAAAATATTCTTCCTATTTGCAATTAAAATTTCACTTGAATTGTATTCCTGTTTGTTTTAAAAAAGGGCTTGGGATTCAAATCTATGCTGTCATTAGGCCACTAATCTTGAATAACACTCAGTCCTCTCCTGGGCTTGATTCCTTCCTTAGGTAGATGTAATAGGCCAGTAAATATTTTTCAGTGCTAACTTCGAGATGTTTCATTCTGTCACATGTTTAAGCTATAACAATATCTACTTGCAAAACTATTTGAATATATTTGCTATGATAGTCCTCTAATCTAGCAATAAAAAGGTATGAATATACTTCATAGCATTCTCTAAATGTTGTACTTAACGGAAAGGATTGTAAATGTTTTTGTTAAAAACTGTTTTTCTGTTAACCCCAAGTTGATCACTACCCAATGTATACATGAATTAAACCTCACAAATCTGTACAAATAATACATGTCAATCAAAAACTTTTAAACTAAGTTTATATTTGCAAAAACTGGTGTTATCTGTGGAAATTAAAGTCCTGAGAACTTTGAGCAGTACTGTGCATATGTGGGGTGTTGCTGCAATCATGTCTCCCAGGTGTTTGCCAACCCGGGCTCACTAGGAAACAAACATTGTCAGATTGCCTTGGTATCGCGATACAGAAAAATGCAGATTTTGACTTTTTGATCCCATTATGTTCCCAGAAACATGAAATAATTTGGCTGCTTAAGATAAAAGAAATCAAGTAACTTTTATCAAATCTTAACATGGCATGGTTAAATGAGGATCTGTACCCATACCCATAGATTTATACCCCACTAAACAATAATGAAATGTTTATAAACAATATTTTGGTTCTCTTCTTGATAGCATCCTACAACAATGAATCAGAACATAACATAATGCTGTCAACCTAAGTATAGCTCCAAGGATCTAGAATACTGTGTTTTAACATCATTGATTTTTTCCCCCAAAAAAACTCTTTTGAAAAGCAGTGCTCCCACTTTGCCATCCACTTTGTATCTGTTACCTGGGGATGTCGTTTGGTGGTAGAGTGCTTGCCTAACATACGTGAAGCCCTGGGTTCAGTCCTAGCACTACACACACACACACACACACACACACACACACACACAGTCCCTACTCTCCCTCTTCTCATTTCCTGGCACCAGGATGGCTATAAACATTTCCTTCCACAGCCATTGGCACTGCTGGTTTTTCTCCCCCTTGGACTTGGGTTTAGTTACTTCCCTACTCCAGTTGTTACAGAAGCAACTGCTTTACTCCCGGATGTGAGGTGAACTGCATGGTTTGCCCTGTTAGAAATGGTCAGCCACCATTGCCTGAGTCTGGAGCAAGGTGACTGTTCATATAAGTGAGTCATCGTTTTTTGGTCTCTATCACAGCCCTGACCTTGTGTCCCTGTGACAGGCTCATTCATCTGCCCAGGCTAAGGAGGCCAGTTTCTTCTTATCTTGTTTGGGCTCCTGCTTTAGGACCTGATTGCTTCTAGTTGCTTCTTTTCCCAATACAGTCGTTCTCTTGAGCTCCACAGCATATCCACTCAGATACCAGAGTGAAACTCCGAACTCCTACCTTGGAAGTACCTGCCTCCTTTAATCACCAGAAAGGGAGGGTAGTTTTCCTCCCACTGCCACCTGCCTCTCCCAGCCCCTGCAGCTGTCTGTGGTTGAGTCCTGTAAAATACTTGTGTGAACTCTGTTGGGAGATATGAAACAATGAGAACAAGCCAATTAGCAGTGAACTGCTGAGAACAAAGAAATGATTCAGGTGAACATCTGTAAAATATTGTGGCCATGAGGCAGGAGGTAGCTAAGGAAAAGGCTAAAAAGAGGAGCTGCTTTCTGGAATTAGATCCACCTTTTGTGTTAAACATTAGCTAGGACCAGGACGTTCAGATCTAATTATAATGGGAAAAGTAACCAGGGGAACTTGGTTTACCATAATGCGTCCTGCCTGATCCATCCCTAATTACCATGTCATTGACTATGCAAATCTGACCTAACCCTCGGGGGTTTGGACCATACACAGAAGACCTAAGTCAAATTGGTCACTGAGTGTCTACCTCAGGCCAAACCCTTGTTCTCATCCCATCCCAAAAGTTTAGAACTCTTAACACCAGCCCGCCTGGGTCGGAGCTTGTTTCATTGAGCTGCTCCTACCCTGAGTAGTGTATCTTTTTTTTTTCTTTGAAACAAATCTTTGATCTTGCTGCTACTTATAGGTATTGTGTTCAATTCTTTGTTCAGGACATCAGGAACCTGCACAAGACCCCCAGCCAGGTAACAGTCAGGAACTAGTAACTTCTCATGTCCAGAGCCAGGATTAAACCCCATCCAAGTGGCCACCCTTTTCTCCTAATTAAGTTATCATTTTTTCAGAACTGGTCTAATTTCTAATAGTGATGATTACATTTCCCTGTGAAAGAAATTATTATTGTCATCCTCTGGATTATTATCAACACTGTTTTACAACTGATTTCTAGCCTTAGTTAATGTTAGTTCACAAGTAGTTATTAAATTTCTGTTTTAATTTTTAATAATCCATCACACACTTTAGATTGACAGAGAATTTAAAGTCCAGAAAGCCTTGTTTGCCGTTGGATTCCCTGTTCCCAAGCCCTTATTGTACTGCAGTGATGCGTCTGTCATTGGAACAGAATTTTATGTGATGGAACATGTGCAGGTGAGTTAACAATCTTATTTTGTTGTTGCTTTTACTGTATTTTTGGTTATAAAAATACTGTTTTAGTAAATGAGTTTCACTATACTCAAAACTGACTATTCAACATTTTAATCAGTTTGTTTTGCAGAGATTTACAATTTCGTTTCTGTGCGCACAATGAGGGAGCGCAGGAATGAATGAGGAACAAATTTAATGATTAGGGAATAGTGACTGATTCTTAATTTTTCCTCTAGGTGACAGTAGAGAGCTATCTATAATGGCAGTAACTTGTTTAGAAGATAGGAAGGGAAACTAACTTCACAATAGAAGACAAACATTAAACCATTAAGAATAAATTCACGTTGGTTTTTTAAAACTTTTTAAAAAATTCAGTTTGGGAGTAGTTTGTCCTCCAAGTTCAGCTTTGCGTATCCTTGTATTATCTCTCTGGCATGTATACTCTTATATATGTTTCACAAATAAATGCATTTATTGAATACTCCACAAAGTACTGATTCCAGATGTCAAACATTTAAATAACCTGTTGTAATCACTTGCACAGGGTCGAATCTTTCGTGATTTCTCACTTCCTGAAGTTAGCCCAGCAGAGCGCTCAGCCATCTATGTGGCCATGATAGAAATACTGGCTCGGTTACATTCCCTGAACCCACAGTCACTGCAGCTGGAAGGCTATGGAACAGGCATGGGGTACTGCAAAAGACAGGTAATGCATCCATATAAAAAACTGCTTTTTTAAGTACTTAGAAGTACAACATTCTGTATATTATTGGTCAAAATAAAAACCTATTGTATGGCTTTATGAGACTTTGTTATTTTAACATTATCCTTCAGATTGAGTTGGTTTTGGCAAAGAATAATTTCATGTGTTGGTCAAGGTTTAGTCCACCAAAGCTCTGTTTCAAACTCTTCATCTCATTTGATGATGGATTTTCTACCCAGTATTCCATTTCTTTGTTAGCAGATGTTTATTAAGTTCTGCTGGGTGTTTAATACTTGTTGAGTACTATGTTAAATACTAAAAAAAAAAAAAAAAATGGAATTAGATTCCCCTCTCCCTCAGTGGACTGGGATCATTTTTGAGAGACCTTTGCATGAAACTCATATACATGAAATTTGCAAATGGCATTATTTAGTAATAATTACTTGATGCCTATCACAAGAGCCATGCCATCCAGAATGTGGAGATTGCTATGCTTCTCTTACTAAAGAATACTTCCTAGGAAAGGTGTGTCTTACAATGTCTCTGTAAGGAAAGATAAAATATAGAGTGATAGGGAAGAGATGGTGAGCATCTCTATCAAAAGAAAGCAAGACCAGACATGTATGGGTGTGCGTCTCTTTGTAGTTTTCATTTTGGAGGTGCTGATGAGCAAGGGGAACTAAATTTTAGGGTGCACTCATTATAAACCAGGTCCTGTCCTAGATGAACTGTGGACATTTTAAAATCTTTGCAGAAATACTGACTCATAGATGTTATTACTTCCATTCTGCAAGTGAAGAAATAGGATTACTGACTTAGACACAATTTAAACAAGTAATACACAAGTGCATGTCTTAGACGGATTTTAAAACCTGGGTCATAAGACTCAAAAGATGAAGATTTTTGCTTACTGCATAGTTGTGCAGAGATAGATTAGAAAATGGGAACTGATATAAGAAAATAAGTAATATGGTTCCACTTAGAGAACTCTTGAGTAGATGGATTTGTTAACTTTGAATTCTAAGAATGACTGAGAGCCTTTGCACTATATGTATCTGTAGCATGTTTAGAAGCTTCTGTGGGTGTGGTAAAGGGTATTATAATTTTTTAAAAGCTCTCCTTCTTGTATGCTACATATTCCTTTCTCAGGGTTTACTTGTTTCTGATGCCCCCTGCCCAAAATTTCTTACATTGGTTTGTATGCGTTTTTTTCCTTCCACAAAATAGTACCTGAATAAATATTATAACCCACATCTCTTGATTCCTAGTCACTGTGTCATTTTACTAGTAAAACAGAATTTGACATAATTGAATTTGTTTTAATTTTAGAATTGCTGGCTTTTACATTTCTCTTTCAGTTCCATCATTTTTCTTGTTTGTCCCCCGCAGGTGTCTACCTGGACAAAGCAATACCAAGCAGCAGCTCAACAGGACATCCCTGCCATGAAAGAGCTCTCCGAGTGGCTCATGAAAAACTTGCCAGATAATGACAATGAGAATACCTTGATTCATGGAGATTTCAAACTAGATAACATAGTTTTCCACCCTACAGAGGTACTGTAAGCCCTCATTGCGACAGTAAATTGAACTGAGTAGGTCTAATCTGAGACAGGTACAAAATAGATACCCCCTCTACCTCAGGAACTGAAGGAGCCCAGCCTAACCCAGTGCTCTATAGCTCATTCCTGTCTTCAGGCTCAAGCTTCTGGAAAGGAGTCCTGCAGGTATTTTAGTCCAAGTGGATGCCTTTCATTAAGGCTGGGTGGTAATGTTAATGTTGTCTGGTTGACTACTTAAAAAGATTTGGAATTTTTACATATGTGTCCCTGTTCTCAAAGGTTTTTATTTACTTCTCAGAATGTCTCAGATTATCCATCTTCTTGCTCTTTCTTTTTTTTTTTTTTTTGCTCTGTTTATATTTCTTTGGATTCTTTTGTACCACATCATGAAGAATTTTTAATTTGTTTATTATAAGTTCAGATAAGAAAGAAGAAAGGATTCCAAAAGCTTCAAAAGAATTGCACAAAATTACTGTAATCTTGGTCTGTGTAAATGTACACAGTATATGCTTCATAAAGAACACTAGCAAATCTTAGAGGAGGCTTTTTAGGGTTCATTAATTGTCTTACAATGCTAAAATTTTTTTTCCACAGCAAGAGGAGTTGCTCTAAATTTTGCTTCCAGGCTTCCTATTTCTTCTCCAGGAAGAGTACAGGGGAAAGTGCCATTATAAGTTACATTTTCATAATTCAAAGTAATACATCCATTGGAAGTCCAAAAACAACTTATGTAAGGACACTTCTGAGCAGAACAGCAAATTTTTTATAGGAAAGTTAGTTTGGAGGTTGGAATTATATATAAATAGATACACTACTTATGGGGGAGTTGTGTTCCAGTAAACCTACTGTAAGTTGAAAATGGATTTGCTGTACCTACCCGATGACCATGAAGGCTGAGCAGCACAGTATGTGGAGAGCAGCGGACGTTTATCTTCACGATGGTCTGACTGCAACTCACTGCTACCACCCAGCATTGTGAGGGTGTTGTACTGCATGTAACAAGCCCAGGAATACATCGAAACTCAAAATTTGATTTATGGTTTGTACTGAATGCATAGGGCCTTCGCATTATGATTAACTCAGAAAATCTAAATCTAGCCAGTGTGGTCATATACACCTGTAATTCCCAAAAATTGGGAGGCTGAGGAAGGATGATTCCAAGTTTGAGGTGAGTTTGGTGAAAAATAGTCTCAAAATAAAAATTTTAAAAAGGGCTGTGTAAATCAGTATGAAGATTCCTCAAAAGGCTAAGATTACAGGTCCCACTTGACCCAGCCATGCCCCTTCTAGTTATCTTCCCAGAAAAGCTAAAAGCATCATACCACAGCAGTATATGTGCACCTATGTTTACAGTAGCAAAATTTGTAATATCTAAATCTTGGGAACAGCACAAATGCCTATCAACTGAGGAATGGGTTAAAAAAATGTGGTTTCTTTTATATAATGAAATACTACTCAGGCATTAAAAATGTGAACTTGATTCTTTTCTAGGTAAATGGATGCAACTTGAGACAATATTCATAAATGAAATAAATCAGGCTCACATGTATAAACATCTTATTGTGTCTCTGGAGTGACAAACTGAAATAGTAAATAAGATCTAAAGTGTACAACAGATATTGTGAGATGGGAAGAAATCATTCAAAGAGAAAGAGTAACTAGGATGGAAGAGAGGGGAAAATGATGCGGGGAAAAAAAGGGAGAGAAAAAGCAAGTCAGTATACTGTTAGTGTCTCCCTAGTTCATTGAAAGGGAAGATTCATACTAATATTGATTGGAGAAAATTTTAATGCCCATAACTTATACTCGGAATAGCTACATTAAAGATAACAATATGCAGTGTTAACTTGTTATTCTTCTATCGTCTGGTTGTGAAATTTAGTTTTACCTTCTTTCCATAAAATAAAATAAAATTAAATTAAATTAAAAGGCCTTATAAAATCAAGTCATGGAGAAAGGACTGACCAGTTTTTTCCATAGCGTTTCTGTTGCAGCTCTGTCCTTATTCACTGAATAAATACATGTTGGCCACCAATATGTGCCAGGTGCTTTGCTAGGAACTGGTCAATAGGCAGATAAGTCATCTGCCTTCACTGTCTCTTTACACTAACCTTATATAAGACCAATACTCTATGGGTGAGAAAATTGAGGGTCCCAGGTACTACTAACTTGTCCAGTCTTACGTAGCCAGTAAATGGCAGAGCTAGACTTAAATATGGGTCTGCCTGTCTCAAAGTCCATAGTTACCCACAAAGGTACAGTGCTAGGTGTAATTTTGCCAGAGAGGCAAAGGAGTACAAGCACACAGTGTTCTTGGTGGCATGAAACCCAGTAGTTTGCATTGCCAAAATGGGCTCTGCTGTTTTCTCTGGCTTGGATTCTGTGCCTGAGTTATTAAATCTGTCCTTCCCCAGCCCCCTTAGAGTCTGTCCAAGTCATAATGGCTAGAGTGAACCTTCCAGAATCAAATCATGTCCTGTGGCTCGTCTACAGAAATCTGTGTGCTTTGTTTATCCTGCCTTGGTTTGCTGGAATAGAGCTATTGCTATCAGCCTGGTGCACATCCTTCCACCTATGCATATTCATTGACAACCTTTTCCTTTAAAAAGATGTTGTGGCCAAAGGGTAAAAATTCAGGGCAGCAAAGCTTCTCTGCTGACACGGCCCAGCCCATACAGGGCTGTCACTGTCCAAATGCTGACGGAAACAGTGCAAGGTAGATGTAGATGTAGGACCTGTTCACACCTCTCTACAAGCCCTGATCTATCTTTCCTCAAAGAGAAACATACTATCTTCCTGCATGTTGTTTCAAAGCTCAGTGAGGAAAGCTTACTGTCCTATTGGTTCCAAATTACATAATGATTGTTTTGTAATAATTTGTTGTGCAGTGGTAGATTTTGTGTTCATACAAAAAGTATCTTTTGTAGCAATTATGGTTTTTGTGTAAAACATGAAATAACTTACTTCAAAAGTATTATTACCAGGCTGATGGGACACTAATCCCAGCCTCTGGGGAAGCCGAGGCAGGGAATGTTTGAGGCCAGCCTGGATTCCTTAGCAAGGCCTTGTCTACATGATGATATAATATTTTTAGACAGTTACATCCATCACTAGAACAATTGCTTTATTATTATAATTAGTTTTTGTGTTTGTTTATTTGTTGGTTTGTTTTGAGACAGGGTCTTGATGTATAGTTTAGGTTGGCCTTGAACTCACTATGTAGCCCAGGCTGGTCTCAAACTCACAGCAATCCTCCTGCCCTCGCTTCCCGTATGCTGACATTACAGGTTTGTCCCTATCGGCTCTATACATGGCTCTGTACTTGAATTCTCAACATATAATTAGGTATTAGAATTTCTTCTTTGCTACAGTTACTCTCTGATGAGCAGTTTATCTGCTTTTACCTTAATTCATTAATAGATATGTTAAGGTGGTATAAAGTAAAATACAGAAGGTCTGATGGCTAGTAATGAAACCAGATGATTTAATGCTACCTAATCCAGGCTACACTGGTTATAAATTAAGTGTGCTACTTTCGGAGACTGTAATCTATGGTCTCATATTGATTTTTGTGGAAAATATGATTTTGAATGAATCCTATTTCTTCTATATTCTTATTTTAATTTTTTTGAATTTTAACTTGTTAGAAATCTTTTTTTTTTTAATTACAGGCACGAGTCATAGCAGTGCTGGATTGGGAGCTGTCAACCATTGGTCATCCTTTGTCAGACTTAGCTTATCTTTCTGTGATCTACTTTTGGCCAAGGACACTTCCAGTGTTCAATCGAGGTTCTCATATCCAGGGAATAATAGGTACAAAAGCATTATACTTTTGAAATTGCTGTTATTACAAAAGTGTATTTAATAATGTTATAATCTGAAATAATTTTGTTGTATTTAATTTTTTGAATATAGCATTCCACTCACAGTAATTAATGATGAAATGTTCTTTGTATATACTGTTTTTTTCAGAATCAATATTAAAACATGTTATATTGTATGGATTATGGTTGTTATAATCCTTTTACATATATATGGTGTATTATAACATTTTGAAATATTTCTCATGATGTTTTTGTTAAATTTTGTATTATGTGCTGCTTTTGTAGGGATACCATCAATGGCAGAACTGATTTCTATCTATGGCCGCTGCAGGGGAATTAATCCTATTCTTCCTAACTGGAATTTCTTTCTTGCTTTGTCATGTTTTAAATTGGCTGGAATAGCACAGGTAATTAATTGTTTTAAACATGAATTTCACCAATTTTAACTAACATAATGTTACAAATATTTTGTGTTCTTTAGGGTGTTAATATTTTGCTACCCTAAGACATTTTTGCATTTCATAATGATGAGTATTAGGTTTGTTGAGACAAGGTCTTGCTATGTAGTTGAGGCTGGGCTTGTACTCACAGCAATCCTCCTGCTTCAGCCTCCTAAGAGCTAGGATTACAGGCATATACCACTATGCTCAGCTCCAGAATAGGACTTTAGTTTTTAAAAAAAACTTAAGTAGAGAAATTTATCATTTTTGCATGATAAACATAAAATGGAGAGCAAGACAAAGATATATAATGACAAAACAATGAAAAATCACACAAGAATTGGCCTTTCCTGAATAAAAAAGTATACAAAGAAACTAAGATCTTTTGATGATCTCTGTCTTGGACTAGTGTTTTTTATTAATCAGGAAGAATTATCCAAGGCTGGCACAGTACCGAGCATATGTAGTCTTTAATATGTTTATGAGTAAATAAGTTCAAATTTCCATTTTCTATAATAATTCATGTTATTAATTTTGAGAGGGAATTGAGGATAAATTTTATTTTTATCTAGTTACATTTTAATCTTAACAAATGCCTTCTTTAGATTAATCCAGCTTCTAGGTACTTTAAATCTTAGTGAGTTTAAGAAATTGAGATCCCTCATTAAGTCTAAGATTTAGAAGAAAAGTAAATAAGAGATTCTTGAAAGAAAAGGAGTGGAAAAAGAAGGAATAAGGAAAATCATGATTATTTTTCCCTGTCCTCAGAATTTGTACTGTCCATGAACTGAAAGGTGAATTATGTTACAGCTCATCCTACCTTCCAAGAGTTGATACGTTGCTAGGCATGATGGCACATATCAGTAATCCCTCACTTGGGAGGCTGAGGCAGGAGGCTCGTGAGTTTAAGGCTAGTGTGAGCTACCTCGATAGGTCCAGGCCCGTTGGACTACACAGCAAGACCCTGTCCCAGTAAGTCAGTGAGTGAGTGAAGGAGAGTTAGTTGTGCTGAATGAACAAGCTTCTCATGGTTTGTCAAAACAGGTGCATTTCTGTGTCATGTCTCACAAATCAAATACACAGGAACTGGGTGTCAGGTAGATTTCATTTCAAATGAAGGTTTGACATTGGTTATGATTGAAGTTAAAATGTCTATCATTAGCTGTAGAGTAAGGTACAAGTAAAAAAATGGAGAATTATGACAAAGACTGACCAGAATTCAGCTAACATTTTTACCCAAATTAGTGGTCTCCAGATGAGATTAAACATTAGAGATCAGTCGAGGTGTGGGGGCACATGCCTGTAATCCCAGCACTCAGAAGGCTGAGACAGGAGGATTGCCAGAAGTTCAAGGCCAGCCTGAGCTACATAGTGAGTGCAGGGGCAGCCTGAACTAGGCAGTGAGACCCTGTCTCAAAAAACTGAAAAATAAATGAGTAAATAAATAAATATTAGAGGTCATCTCATTGCCTTCTCTTTGGTTTTATAGTTTTTTAAAAATCTGATTCTAGTTCCTTTAATTTTACTCCCACTGTGAAGGGAAGACAATGATCCTTATAGATGATGTATCTTGCAGGTTAGGTGTCTTAGGTGACTTCTGAGATCATTTTCAAGCTTGGTTTGGTTATCAGTTGCACTTCCGTCAGATGAGAGTGTTTTAACCACCTGATGATACAGGTTGATTCTTCAGTTTAGAGGGGTAGAGTTACCCTTGATGTAAGTTTACAGCGCAGGTAGCTAATTTACATCCTCACTCCATGAATCTAGTTCCCCACATAAGTGTAGAAAGACTGATTTATGTAGTTGAGGGACAAATTTCAATGAATTTTAATTGTTCTTTGTTAATTTACTCATAGGGAATATATTATAGATGTCTCTTGGGAAATAATTCATCTAGAGATATCTTTCTGTCTGCCAATTCTGTACAACCTCTGGCAGAAACCGGATTACAGCTCTCAAAAAGGTAAGAAAAAACCGATTCTTGGTGTAACTCAAACTTGGGTAACAGTGTTCCAGTAAGTTCATGGAGGGTCATTCATTCAGTTAACAAATTCAACGCTGTACATTAATTTAGTTAGCAAATAATTACTAGGTATGTGAAAGTTATAAAGTTAAGCGGTAGAAAGTACATGTATTGCTTATGCCATGGTATAGCATGGTAGGTTTTGGTAAACTACCCCTTACATGCCTAAAAACAAACCGACCTGGCTGAAGGGGTTGCACTTGCCTAGCATGTGTGAGACCCTGGGCTCAAACACCAGTCCCATCAAAAATAAAAACAAAAAATAAATTGACCTGAAGTATAAAGAAAATTTCCATATTTATGATTAAAAGACTTTTTGCCAATTCAAATGTGTAACTTTTTAAAGATACAGATTAAACTCTCAAGTATTTCCTCTTAATACTTAAAGTTACTATATATACCTATTTAAAATTACGTTATATAAAGTTATTTGTCATCTTAGAAAAACTGCTTCTTGCCACAGTCACATTTCCTGGAATTTTACTCAGACATTTCGGAAGTGCCTGAAGCCCAAGCACTGCAAGGCATCTGACAGCCTGTGTACATCACACCCACGTTACTCACGGAAGGGACTCTAACGCTGACCCCAGAAATTCCGCCTGAGCTACAAGGACCCATGGCATAGCACTGTGGCAGCTGTTTCCACAATCATCTTGTAAACACATTTTTGTAATCTTTACAACATAAGAGCCAATTGTGTTTTGCTTCCTATTTTACCTTTATCTTTTTGTTTGTTCATTCATTTCTTGAAATAAGGTCTCACTATGTAGCCCAGGCTGGCCTTGGACTCACAGTGATCCTCCTGCCCCATCCTCCCAAGTGCTGGAATTATAGAATATATCACCATGCATGGCATGCCTTTGTCTTTAAAGGTCTTTAAAGCATTCTGCAGTTGTATTTGTGAGGCATGTACTAAGAATAATAACTAGATTTGTATAGAATACCCTCACTTCCTCTTTTAGCAATTATGACCCTGGGCTTCAATATTCTAAACTATATTTTTTCCAAATAGTTATTTAGGCATTAATGTTCTAAAGAATGATTCTACATTTATCCCATAATATGAAAGAAAAGAATCTAAAACTTTCTGAGGAATGTTTTTGAGAAGCTAGAGAAGACTTCATATTATCTTCGAAATAAATATAATGATTTTGCGTATCTTTGTAATTTTTCTTTTTGGTAAAGAACGTTCACTACTGCACTGCCACCAGTTGATAGCACCAGACACTTATTTGTACAGACTAGAAAAGGCCAAGAAGTTCTCGCTAAGGTGAAGCAGTTCATGAAACAACACATCCTTCCAGCAGAGAAGGTATTATCTAAACAATATTTTTGTGCTAAGCAACTATTGGTGAATATTTCTTTAAAATCTCTGCTCATAGGAGAAACATGGTGTCATCTTCTTTGTAATTAACCTTATTCAGACTGCCCTCCTCATTATCACCGAGCCTGAGAAATGCCAACCTCCTAAAATATGCCCAAGTGTGTGGGGCAGGGTTTGCAGGTAAGTTTGTGGAATTAAAACTAAACTAAAGAGAAGTAGCACTTGGGAGCCTGAATATATTGGTACAAAACACTATCTTGGATACCTTTTCCTAGGACAATGCCTTTCAGTTTTTTTGTTTTAAATAAATATGGACCCTTTTGAGAATTTAATGAGAACTGCAGACTTCACAAGATGAATGACAATGCCAAGAAAATGATATACATTAGTCAGAGCTGTTCACAGATATTTCTCCCATAATGTACTATTTTAAGGTGTTAAATTTCAGTACTTTCAAAGAGAATTGAAAGGCAACACAGTGTGTTCATTCGCTTAATTTACAAATAATTATCAGGTATCTAATGATTGGTTAGACACTTGGGGAACAACTGAATGAAAGAACAAGATAGACAGAGCTTATGTTCCTATGGAGCTCGTATGTTAGCAGGAAAGACAGGCACTAAAATAAGATGGTCGGTGCCATCAAGATAAGATAAAAGAGCTTATGAAAATTATATTGCAAGCTGGATGTGCTCATGTACACCCGTAATCCCCGCAGGAAGACTGAGGATCATTGAGGATCACTGAGAGTTGGAGGCCAGCTAAGTGTTGAATTCAAGGCCAGCCTCAACTGCAGAGCAAGACCATGTGTCAAAAAAAATGAAAAAGGGAAAAAACATTATCTGGGGATATGTGTGAGTAGAACAATGGTATAGAGATTGTAAGGATTTGATTCTTGTCAGGTCCTTCCGCAGATTAGGGTAGGTGTCCTTGTGATAGTTGGTCTTCTGTGGCCTGAGTTTCTTCATCAGCGCCGTGAGAATGGGTCTCACATATACAATAAATTCCCATTCTAATTGTGTGTGTTGCTGGAGGTCTAGACTGGCGACATTAAATAGAGAACTTTAAAAGATCAACGTTCTTTTAACAAAAATATTCAGAGCTGGGGCTGGGGATTTAGCTCAGCCGCATAAGCACCTGCCTGACAAGTGCGAGGTCATGAGTTCCACCCCTGGTACAAAAAAATAAAAATAAAAATTCAGAGCTGATATATGTCTGTAGGACAGTTAGTGCTATTGTTTGAATAATATGAATAGTAATCATATTTTTAATAAATATCTGATTGAGATGAATATCTCTTATGGAGTATAGTTTCTTTAAAAAAAGACTTAAATGTGGGGAAATCTTTCTAAAATAATTACCTCTCCTATCCTGTGATTTAGGTAATACTGGATATTTTATTCTAGTTAATATCTTTTCCTTCTTAGTTTTAAAACTGAACTTTTGTGTAGTAAGGAGAGACTGCAGGATGAGCACCTTGGCACACACTTATAATCTCAGCTGCTCAGGAAGCTGAGACAAGAGGATCATAGTTTGAGACCAGCCTGGACAAGAGCTGAAAGGGCTCAGTAAAAGAGCGTTCCTGATTCACTCTCCAGTGCAAAAACATAGGGATGAAACAATTTCAGTTCAAGATGGTGGTATGAATTCAACAGTTCCCTCCCTCCTTCAAATAAAATCCCATTGAATTAACAATAAAGAAGTTTTTAGAAAGTGAAATAAGTTGGTAAAAGCAGGAAAGAGAACACACCAGAGGATTAAAGAGTAGAAATTAGATTTGGAAGCCCCAGTGTGTCCTATCCAAGAATACACCGTAACAGAAGAAACCACATCTGAATAGGAGTTTGAAGTAAGAGAATGGTTTAAAACAGATGGTAACTGCCTTTAACCTATTATTGGCAGATGAAAAGAGGAAGAAATCCACAAAGACCAATTAAGGAGTTAGCAGATGAGCTGCTTGGGTTGGTCTATTATTAACCCTGCACGGCAATAGCATTTGCCCCAAGGTTGAAACCATACTCAGAAAAGGAAAATAACAACTGATCTGTTCAGAAAAGCCAGGCTTCAACATGAGGTTAGTGGGCTAAAGTAGGACCCTCCATGATTTGGCTTCCTCTGTTGCAGGGTTTTATTTTTGTATTTTTACTGTGTATGGTGAGGGATGGAGACCCCAGCTCGCCTCTTAGACTCCCTCATTCCTACCAGGTCACCCCTAAATCTTGGTACACTACCAGCCACCAGCCCATTGTTCAGTGGACTGGCCACAGGCAGAGGAAAGCAGACACATTTGTTCTTTCCTTCCTAACTGCGGGTGGGCGGGAGCCACAGCACAGAGGGTCAGGATCACAGGACAGGTTGTGAAGCTGCACTGAGCTCAGTCTCACACCGCTGTTAGGACATGTGCAACAAATTTGCCCCCCAAAAAGGAAATCGAGCTTTAAAGAACAGATTGGCAATATTTTGTGTCACAAGGACAGCCATGGCCGTGTTATCTTTGTAAATCTTTCAAATCTGAGACATATCCACATCTGGTAATGTGTGTTTTTCTTCCTTTCCTAACTTCTACCAATGTCTGTAAAAATGTGTCATTCTGAATAATACTTATCCCTTGCTGTGGGATATATACATTTGGAAAGATCCTAGAAAAAAGTAAATAGCTTTTTCAAAATGAGAGAGGAACACCTATAAAACTCACCTAGTATCGTTATAGCTTGAGTTTACATAAAATAAATCATATTTAGAAAAATACATTGTATTGTACAACATACAAACATTTCACAGCATGTCCGTAGCTCTTAAGGCTCTTAATGAGTTTTTATTTATATGTTTAGATTCATGAAATAATTCTACTGGCCTTTGAAATTCCTTGAATATCATAAGGTGAAAACATAACCCTGGGGTTTTTTTGGTACCAGAGATTGAACTCACAACCTTGCCCTTACCAGGCAAGCATTTGAGCCACTGAGCTAAATCCCCAGCTCCATTACCTGTTATTTTAAAAAAATGTTAAAAGTTAATTCTTCCTATTTAAAATTGATAAACAATCCCAAGATAGCATGTCAAACAGGAAGTGGCAACATAATATATTATGGTGAACACCCCTTTAACGTAATGGTGACTTTAATCAAACTTTCCTACTGTCTGACAGTGTAGTAGTGGAGGAGGAACTGTTGATTTTTAAAATTTTTTTGCACTTTGAGTCACAGTCTTGCTATGCTGCCCAGACTGGCCTCAAATTGCTAGGCTCAAGTCATCCTGCTGTCTCAGCTTCCTGGGTAGCTGAACATACAGGCTCATGCCACTGTCCCTGGCTAAGTAAATCAGTTTTCATACTTTAATTGGTATTCTCTCTCTCTCTCTCTCTCTCTCTCTCTCTCTCTCTCTCTCTCTCTCTTTCTCTCTCTCTCTCTCTCTGTCTCTGTCTGTCTGGCTGTCTGTCTGTCTCACTCTCTCTCTCTCCCCCATATTAGGGGTCCAAAAGGCAGTTGCAATATCACTGACTGAGCAACAATCCCAGCCCTAACTAGTATTCTTTGATAGTGAGATATTCCATGGTATTCTGAGACATACTAGACCACAAATACTAATTTACTTTTTAATTTTAATTAGCACATGTTTGCAGTACATAATGATTGCATTCACTGTGGGGAGTTAGTACTTTTCGTAGCATATCAATTATTTTTTTATTTAGAGAAAGATAAAACAATAGAAAATGAGCAGAAGTGGTACATACTTTCAAAGAAAAGAAATAAACAGTAATAAATCACTAGTTGATTATATATATTGTCCCCCCACAAATAATTGTTGAAGATACAAAAGTGGAACATATAAATGGGATTTCAACCAGGGAGACTGAAAACAGTTCTGTTCAACTATCCAACAAAAACTAAGTAATATGAGTATCAGTTCTATACACTTAGACATGCATGCATTTATCCATATCTTCATTTATGTTGAGAGCCAACAAAACTTATTAGATTAAAATCCTTCTGAACAAAGATTAATAATATTGCTGGATTTCACATCATAACACTCTGGAATCAGCACTGGGTACTGCAGTGCCCCTTTCTTCAAAGTATTTGTTCATTTCATCATGTGTCATCAGATCAGTTCTCATAAACTGTTTATAGGTTTTATGCAAGCATGAGTCTTAATATGTATTTCTGTTCTTTCTATATTAGCGGGAGAAAAAGAACAAAGCAGGACAGAACTAAACATATTCCTATAGACACATAAAACTAAAAAGACATATACGACTGCTGTATAAGAAGTTTTACCATGGTTACTGTGCTGTTTCTTGTTATCATCAAGTGAATTGGCTATATCATCAGATAAAGTTTAATTGAACATATCAGTACATAACAGAATTAACAGAAATACAACTTTGTAGATAGTGTAGAGCTACAAAAACAGGTGGTAATCAAATCAGAATGGATATCGCAGTGAATCATTGTCATTTTCAGTGTAGTTGTCTATACTCCTCAACTTGATACCAGCAACCTAACAGTTTTCAATAAAATCTGTCAATAATAAGCAGCAATCAAACAAGTCAGACTTAACTAAGATCAGTCATGATACAACAATATAAGTCATACAGGGATTCTGATTGAGTTAATAGGAAATTAAAGATGTCCACTGTGCTATGTCCTGGTATCTTCGCGACAGCTGTCTGTGCCCTCAGATCCAGGGCTTGCATACAAACTAGTACGGAACAAGTTCCAACCAAGCAGAGTGGTGTGAGTAATAAGGGTTTTAATTCCTGATACACTATTAGCTATATCTTCTGCTGTTTTTTTTAAAGACTATCCCTGCCTTTTACTCCCCCAGAATGAACTGTGTATTTTTGGGTCTCCCCATCACTCATGGTTTTATATTGGGGGGCAACCTGCTATTTACCTAAGTGTTTCTATACTTTCTCACTCCTGGTTTGGATTTCTAGTTGTATTTCTTCATTTATTAAAGCCTGTCTATCCAACCTATCCATAAAT